CAGGCTAACCAAGCCCGATAGGACTCCTTCTTCAGCCTGGTGGCTCCCTTCACCTCTGGTATCCACCATTTGGTTCAGGGGTTACCACCACGACAGGCACCAACCACTTTGCGGCCGCAGCTCAATGCAGCAGCTTCAATGGAGATGCTGAACACGGTCCATTTGGACTCAATGTCCCCAGTCTCCCTCAGAATGCTGTTGCAGCTCTGCCGGAGGTGTGCGTTAAAAGATCTCGCGGACTGGGGCCTCTGCTAGACGTTCCCAGCACACCCTCACTACGCGTTTAGGTGCACCGGGTCTGTCCAGCGTCCTCCCCCGCCACCTGATCCAACTCACCACCAGGTGGTGATCAGTTGACAGCTCAGCCCCTCTCTTTACCTGAGTGTCCAGAACATATGGTCGCAGGTCTGGTGATAAGATTACAAAATCGATCATCGACCTGTGGCCTACAGCATCCTGGTGCCACGTGCACTTATGGACACTCTTATGTTCGAACAAGGTGTTCAATTCAGTTTTATTAATATAGCGCCAATTCATAACAACAGTTGCCTCAAGGCACTTTGGCCTAATCTTAAAAGTAGAGATGTGTCTGTCTCCTGAGTTAACAGAAGGAGATAGAAAGAAAAATAAAGGAGAAGAGTGATAGAGAGAGAAAAGACACTAAAAATCTGCTCCATCACCTGCTGAAGAAAAAAAAGCAAAAAGCAAATAACACAGTAGGGGAATCACAGCAACAACCAACCAACAAACCAGTAACAGTAAATAATAAATATTGAATGTTACTGAGCAGCATACAGGAGCCTGCAGGCTCCAGCGGCAGACGGCTACGCCAGAGCAGACCAAGCCCCGGGCCCAGAGACCTGAGATCCAAGGGCCCTCCACACCCCGGGAGGTGCCCAACTGAGCCAGGGGGACCAGGCCCCACCAAGCAGCTGCTGGGAGTGAGCCAGTACTCACCCGAGAACCCAGCGCCAGACACAGAGAACCACGAATGCAATGGCAGGGAGTGTGGTGGTGGTGGGGAGATACTTTGGAAAAAGCTGCAATCACAGTATTGTAGGATGGTGACTCCTCCTCGGCTTAGAGAAGCTCGTTCCCTTTCTAACATTAAAGACCTCCCTGACTCTGTTCCAACCAGTGTTTCTCCCTGTCCAAGATGTGTACATCCTCATCCCTGGAAGACTGGACACTGGCCTGTAGGTGTAAATAGACTGCGGAGTCCTGGCCTCCACCTAGCCAGGGTTCTTTGGTTTCCCTAAATGTATAATTCAACTGTTAAACATCATTCAGGGATGAGATCTCACACATTTCACTAACTCTCACAAACTGCTGGCCACAAACACTCTGTTTCTCTGTTCTTTATTTCTTTGGCACTCTTGAGGTGTTGCTTGTAAAACAGAAGCCCTGACAGATATTGTTGTAAGTGAAGTGACTCAGGAAGAGAGTCTGGAGGTTTTGCCATTTGATACAGCTGAAGGAGTTGAGGTGTGCCTTGTGAGTAGAATGAATTAACCTCTTTTTAGTTACATTACTTTCTCTTTTGATTTATCAGTGCAGTGAAACAAACCTGAGACCGCACTCTCTCTCTCATTTTGCGCTCTCGACGGTCCTGGACAGTGGACAGGTAGTTGACAGCAGCGTATTCCAACACAGACAAGAAGACAAAGACAAAGCTGACCCAGAGGTAAATGTCCACAGCTTTGATGTAGGAGACCCTGGGCATGGAGGCATTCACTCCAGTAATGATGGTGGACATGGTCAACACCGTGGTGATGCCTGGACACAGGATACAAAGTTTTACTAAAGTAAACATGTTTGAATCTTAGCATGCATCTTTTTCATATTACATTGTAGACACTACAGCATAATTCTTTTTTATCTTCAGTCAGGGAGCTAATCTTATGCATAGCTAAAAGTGCAGGCGTAAAAGCATTACCCTGATTCAATACCATTGCCACGCAATGCATGTGACATGACAAGGCTGGATATTTGATTATATGCTGAAGATAATAAAATCATCATTCTAAATTAAATATAACTAGAAAATAATAAAAATACATCAGTGCGTTGTGGCCTTGTATAGTGTATTACCTACAATGATAGGAGGTGTTTTAACATCATCGTAAATTTACAAGTGTGAGTTTTAGAAATTTGTTGGATCTCTCACAACCACTTGTAATTGCAAAACGATTAAAAACTGAATTCAATTTAATTTAATTTATATAGTGCCAAATTCCCTCACAGCACTTTATATTGTAAGGTAAAGACCCTATAATAATAAAAAGAAAACAGAGAATCCCCAACAATTATATGACCCCATAAATCAGAGACAAAGTCTGAGAATTCGGACAGAACCTCAGCCTTGGTGGATGATGGGTAACAACAAATGAGACTGGTTTTTGATTTTTCCAGCTGGGGTTGACAAGGCTAAGTGTCAGGCTTTTGAATGAATTAAAATTCTGTCTAGGTCTTTGGCTGATTAATCAGCTGGTGTGGAATAATGTGCAAACACACATTATTACTAAAGGATGTCAAGGACTAACTAAACATCTGATGCAGTGAGCAAGAAAGTGCAGGAGAGACAAGTGAAGTGGCCATGCTGCTAGCGAGTTTTTAATTAAATTGGCTACGCAGATAAGCTACACAAAAACACCAGCGTGTATTGTAACAGGAAGAGATACTCTACTGCAAGAGAGAGAGCCAACCTGAATGTCATTTCATTTTTCTAATACCTCCATTTTTTACAGCAGGATGAGTCCAGATGTTTTTAAATGTGTTACAGGTGATCACATGCAAAGTATGAGCAATTTTCTGTATAATCGCATTAAACTATGAACCAAATCTACATTTGGTCTGCCAAGCATACTGTGAAGTCACAGTCACAGTAGTTTCTCCTACATGCTTGGAATATGAGGAATTGAGTTCGGCAACCTCAGATCCAACACAGTGCTCGCCTCAGTGATAGGCTTGCAATTGTTTCATGTTTTCCTGGTTTTAAAAAGACCAAAACTAGTAGTGTGTTAGTTCATCTCTCAAAATGACCATCTGTGGCTTAAAGACCTTACCATGTTCATTCGACTGATGGTATCAATCTTTAACAGCTCCATATTTACAGAATTGAAAAATGCTTCTTAAAGCAGCTTGACC